AGGGTTTGTTTCGAGACTCTTCATGGTTGGGGACTCTGTGGTGGTGTACCACCAACCTGGACCTTGGCTCTTGGGGTATGTAGAGGCTGGGAACCATCTCCATCTCGAATTCTTCTGGCTAAGTTTGTACTTCTAAGACTATAGTGGCTGCTATACCTTCTGCCAATCAAACCGTCATAACGTCGTCAAATCTTCATGGAATTTCATGATTCAACTTGCTGCTGATAGACGATAGCAACGCTCTCCAGATCCAAATTATAGATTACCATTTGAGTCAGCGAGCAGATCGTTATCAATATTTGAAGCCGTCTGACGGAAATCCGACTGTGCTCTCTATCTCTCATTATAGGCACATCTGAGCCTATTGTGATTATAACAAGTGGTATCAGAGCCCCTTGGAGCCGTCTTGACCATGCCTAGACCTGAGGAAGGGGGTGGTAGAGGTGTTGGAGGCAGAGAAGACGCCGAAGAACAAGGTCAACACCAAGATCCACCCGTTGCTCCGGTTCAACCTAGCCTTGGACCCTCTAGGGATGAGCCTAGAGTGTTTGGCCTTGACAAGTTCAACGGTGACAACTTTGCTGACTGGTCCTTCAAGATGGAGAACATCTTTGACCACTACGATCTACTGGAGGTGATGGAAGGAACGGAGAAGCACCCCGAGAACAACCCGGAGAAGAGCCCGTGGGTGCGGAAGAGCGCACAAGGCTACTTGGGCAAGCGTTGGGGAGCAGCCAAATCCGTCACATCAAGCCTTTTCAGCGTGAACCAGCAAAGGGACCAAAGGCATGGGCTGCTCTCAAGGGTGTACACGCTCCTGCAACAGCGGCGGTGGCTGTGGTTTTGGAGCGGCAAATGGCGGCACTTCGAATTGACGAAGGCAAACCGGTGGAGGAAGGAGTGCAAAAATTCTTCGACTTGTTGACACGGCTCGAAGGAGCTGACCTGAAATACAGTGACCTTCAAAAGAAGACCAAGCTGCTGGCCTTACTTCCAGACTCATGGTCCTCGCTCATCATCAACCTAAATCAAGATCTGCCCCGTCTCTCACTCGAAGATGTGAAGCGGGAAATCTTACAAGAAGATTTCCGCCGTCGCGAATTGGCAGGTCCCGATGGTGTCGGAGTTGCAAGCATGGGCCGTGGGCACGGCCGTGGAAGGGGCAGAGGGCGAGGAGGAAGATTTGGCAGCAGTAACTTCAACAACAACAACAACATGGTAATGGAGGATATGACAGCAACAACAACAACAATGGATACGGGCGTGGGCGCGGTCGATTTTATGGCGAATGCCACTTTTGCCACAAGACCGGCCACATGTGGAGAGATTGCTTCAGATTGCCTGATGGATGGACCCCTTCTCAAGGCCAAGAGGGCAGAGGAGCAAGGGGAGGAAGAGGCAGAGGTCGTGGAGGCCGTGGTGGTCGTGGAAGCGAAGCGACAAGCATGAAAGGTGGAGACTACGACAAGGACTCGAGTGAAGATCGATACCCGGGCCAATTCTTCTTTGTCTCCACACAAGCGGCAGCTGCAGCAGGAGGTATTGAAGGCTTTGAGGAGCCAGCTACTGTGGGAAAGGTCATCCTTCACTCTCTGGACTTTTGGGTGATCGATAGCGGCGCCACCTATAGCATGACACCTTGTGCGGACTTGCTCACCGAACTCGAACCGTCGCCGGTCAAGCATGTTACATCGGCTTTGGGGCAGCGAGCAGAGGTGAAAGGCATGGGCAAGGCCATGTTCAAGGGTGCTGATGGGAAGATGGTGGGCCTCAAGAACGTGCTTTGGGTGCCCAACCTTACAGCCAACATGATTTCTGTGCGGCGTTTGCAAAAGGCCGGCATGGACACATCTTCCTAGGGATCCAAAAGCTATACCGCGAGGCTTGGTGAGCGGAAGCTTTGGGACCTTCATGAGGACAGGGACATCTACAATGAGATGTGGCAAATTCCAGTGGTCCCCATGCCTAAGGAGAGGCAAGTGGCAGCAAGCGTCAGCACCAAGAGTGAAGCGGTTGGTGGCGGTGATCACGGAAAACAAAGTGACACCAAGAGTGACTCGAAGGAGTGCAATCTTGGAGGGACCAGCAAGGCGTGTGAAACCAAGGAGAGTGGTGCAGCAGCCAAAGGTGGTGGAAACGACGAGGAGAAGCAAAAGATAAGCAAAGCAGCAGCGATAAAGGAGAAAGGAGAGAGCTTGTGGGGCACAATTGCGAGTGCCGCTTTCTCCAACCTGACTTCCGCTACGGGAGAGTGTGATTGGCTGACCTTGCATCGGCGAATGGGGCATGTGGCATTGTCCATTTTGCAGCAGATTGTTAAGCAAGAGATGGTCAGTGGGATACATGTTAAGGGAGAGCCCAATGAGGTGCTTGGCTGTCCAACATGCATGCAAGCCAAGTTCACCCGCTACCCGTTCCATTGCTCGGAGACAACGGCGAAGGCACCACTTGATGAGGAGGTGATGGATGTGGTGGGATCCTTGAAGCTTGGAGCTGCTGGAGCAGAGTAATTCCTCACCATTGTGGACGTCTACACTCGCATGAATTGGATTTATGTGCTGCGCAAGAAGAGTGACGTAGCTGAAACGGTGAAGACCGATTGGTTGCCGATGGTGGAGCGGCAACAAGACCGGCTTGTGAAGGCGATTCGCACTGACCGTGGGGGAGAGTTCCTGAGCAAGGATTTCTCAACTTGGCTGAAGAAGCAGGGCATAAGACACTCTCTTACCATGCCCTACTCTCCTGCAATGAACGGCATCACCGAGCGTGCGAATCGGACACTCACGGAGACAGCTCGGGGACTTCTCATTGAAGCCGGTCTACCCAATTACTTTTGGCCGGATGCGGTGCGGCATGCTTGTGTGGCCAAGAACAGAGCCCTGACTCACGTGGGAGAAGACAAATGGGTGCCCTATGTGGAGTGGACTGGAAGGAAGCCGAAGGTGGATATGCTTCGGGGTGTTTGGGTGCATGTGCATTGCACTTGTGCCTAAGAAACTTCGGCACAACAAGCTTGATGCCAAGGCAACATGGGCCGTGCACCTGGGCATGGCTAAAAACAGCAAGGGATGGCTTCTTTGGGACCCATTTAACAAAAAGTTCTTGGTGAGCAGAGATTGCAAGTTCATGGAGAACTTACTGTACAAGGAGTGGAAGGCGGAGAACCAAGCGAAGATTGGTGTGCGGCTTGGAGAGGTGAAGAGTTCCGGCTCGGAGCATGTGGAGCTGCCCTTGGAGTTGAGTAGCAGCAGAACAATCACGAGGCAATCTCCCCAAATGAATGGGGATGAGGAGGAGGAGGAGGTGCAGCAAGGTGATGAGCGTGCACCGCCACTTCCGCCTCGTGCTACAAGTGCTCGCGGGAACCGACCAGATTTACCGCAACGCCATGAGAGCATTCAAGTCCCTGCAGCAGAGGAGGAAGGAAGGGGGAGAAGGAGGACTCAGCCCCCCAATAGGTTGAGCTATGATCGGCTTGGAGGACCAGCCAACTCAACCTTGACCGGTTCGGCTCTCATGCTAGGCAATGATGCGGACGATGAAAGCGAGGACTGCGCTTTTGCCTTCTTCTCTCCGGTGGAGATGCCGGGGGAGCCTACAAATCCCAAGGAGGCTTGGGAGGGCCCCAATGGGACGGAGTGGAAGAAGGCATCAGATGAAGAAATGGGGAGCATCATAGAGAACGACACATTTGACTTGGTGAATCTTCCTCCGGGGCAGAAGGCGATCTCTTCCAAGTGGCTCTTCAAGCGCAAGACCGACGCCGACGGCAACATTGAGCGCTACAAGAGCAGACTTGTAGCCAAGAGGTATCAGCAGTAAGAGAAGAAGGACTACAATGAAGTGTATGCCCCTGTGGTGAAGGGTACTACCCTTCGAACCCTCTTCACCACGGCGGCCATCAAAGGATGGGTGGTGAAGCAAATGGATATAGTAACGGCCTTCCTCAACGGCGTTTTGGAGGAAGAGACCTACATGGAGCAGCCAGAGGGGTACAATGATGGGAGTGGCAGAGTGTGGAAGCTGAAGAAAGCACTCTATGGCCTCAAGCAAGCCCCTAGGCAATGGTACATCAAGCTGTGGGAAGTCTTGGAGGCGATCGGCTTCATTCCCTCAACGACCGATCAATCGTTGTTCATGCTTGGCGAGGGGAAGCAGAGGAGCTTCATGGTGGTTTATGTGGATGACATCCTCATATTCTCACCCTCCTCTGACCTTGTGAAGGATGTGATGCTGAAGCTTCAAGACAAGTTCAAGTGCAAGACCCTTGGTGACGTCAACTACTACCTTGGGCTTCACATTGAGCGAGATGTGGAGAAGCGGTGGATGCGAGTGCATCAAAAGAAGTACTTGGAGGCCTTGGCTGCAAACTTTGGGCAGAGTGAAGGTTATGTGGCTACTATTCTACCCTCGGGGTTCAAGTGTGTGAAAGGACCAGCAGAGGAAAGTGTTGGTGAAGAGGAAAGGCGCCGTTTTCACTCCTTGGTGGGCAGCCTTATGTATGCGGCCGTTCACACAAGGCCAGATGCAGCCTTTGCTACCGGGCAGCTGGCTAGGGTTGTCCAATCCCCTAATGAAGAGCAGGTAGCAGCTGGAGAGAGACTGGCCAAGTATCTTGGCCAAACAGCAACTGTTGGACTGCAATACTCCGCGGCGGCACAAAGGCGTCAAAAGGGTGCGGATGGAGTCGAACCCGGGAGGCTATTTCTCACCGCCTTCTCTGATGCATCTTGGGCATCAAAACCAGAGGATATGACAAGTGTGGGAGGCTTCATCTGCTGTGTTGGTGGAGGCCCAAGAGCTTGGGAGAGCAAGAAACAAGTGGACCAAGCATTGAGCTCGGTGGAGTCCGAGTACATGGCACATTTCCGTGCCATAAGGGAGGTTGTGTGGCAGCGGCGTTTGCTAGCTGAATTGGAGGAGGAGCAGCAAGGACCTACCCCACTCTATTGTGATAGCCAAGGTGCTCTTGCATTGGCTAAGAACTCGGTTTTTCATGGCCTTACCAAGCACATGAAGGTGAAGTGGCATTGGGTGAGGAGCATGGTAACCTCGGGTGAAGTGGAGTTGCACTACGTGAAGACGACGGCACAGCCTGCTGATATGATGACCAAGAGGCTGGTTAAGCAGCAGCATTGGAAGTGTTGCAAGCTTGCTGGGATGGCTCTGAACTAAGGGGAGCAGATTCTAAGGCCAACAATCCGAGGGGGAGTTTGTTGGTGCAACCTTATGGCTTGCACTCGGCTTGTCGTCCTTGTTTGTGTGTGTGCATGCATGGCATGGAATGAATTGTGAGTCTATCTCATTGCTATCTAGTGCTTGTGTGTGTGTTTGAATGGTGTATCACAATGTGGTTTGTGTCGGTCAAGACATTAGCGAGTTTTTACAACTCGCATGTCAAGTCGTCGTTTGCGTGTCGCATGTGTTTTTTCTATTTTGTCGAGTGTGAAGTGTCCATCGCGTTGCAGGTGTGTGCAGCAAGCCCCCATCAACTCAAAAAGAATTGATCTTGCAGAACCAAGACCAAGAGCTCAAGATTTAAAGCCCAAGGGACACGGATAAATATTAAATAGTGAAAATAGTAACGCTACTTCGTGTAGTGTTACATTTCACTTGGTGTAGCTCCTTGGAGGGTTTGTTTCGAGACTCTTTATGGTTGGGGACTCTGTGGTGGTGTACCACCAACCTGGACCTTGGCTCTTGGGGTATGTAGAGGCTGGGAACCATCTCCATCTTGAATTCTTCTTGCTAAGTTTGTACTTCCAAGACTATAGTGGCTGCTATACCTCCTGCCAGTCAAACTGCCACAGCGTCGTCAAATATTCATGGAATTTCATGATTCAACTTGCTGCTGATAGAGGACAGCAACGCTCTCGAGATCCAACTTACAGATCACCATTTTAGGTCAATGAACGTTATCAATATTTGAAGCCGTCTGACGGAAATCCGACTGTGCTCTCTATCTCTCATTATAGGCACATGTGAGCCTATTGTGATTATAACAGCTCTCCAGGAGGGTGCTTCACCTTGAAGAGCCATCGGCCATCGACTAAGTTCACCCCATGTGGGGGAACTGCGTCGACGAAGGTAGCGGTGGATCTCCAAGATGCCATCTCCTGCTCCATGGCAACTATCAACTAAGGGCCCAGGGTCCTGACGGGAGGGGGGTGTTGTGAGACACACCAGACGGGGCAGGGGGGGGAGGGGGGGGAACAGGGGCGACCGGGGGAGGGGGGGGAACCAGAAACAGGGGGGGGTGACCGGGGGACCACGGTGGGGAAAGCGGTGGTAGAAGGAGA